ATTCAAAAGTGCACCTAAAACTATTTCTTAGTCAAGATTTAGGTTTAATAGTTTTTCTTTTTTCACCTTGATAAAACTAACTTTTCTTAAAGGTGGTGGGACTTTTTGTATTCCCTGTAAGTTTTAAAGAAAAGCACCTGGTTATACTTTGCATGTAAAAAAAATTAGAATGTTGAAAGCCAAAATGTAAGCTGACAGGGAAGAATTACCACAGACTGTCTTCTTAATGGCAAGGAAAAAAGTGAACTGTTAATCTTAACAATTCAACTGACCTTAACAAAGGTTAAAAAAGACTTACTTTTTCTTCTATTTTCATAGTTTATCCATCCAAAGTACAATTTAAAAAGCGTTTTTAATATTTTCATTATGGAATTGGACCAAAACATGTCTTGCCCAAGTTAAATACATAGGAAAATTTTCATGTCAACTACATTCTGAAGGAAGGGCTATTCCCCACAAGGGGTCTGTGTACTAGTTTGCTGTATAAGACAACGCTCCTCACCATTACGGGGCTGAATTATTCTCCCATGTGCTGTTGATGATAAAACTTTTGTTAACTCTAATATGATGAAGTAGTGTCTGTTAATTCTCTGCAGCTGCACTATCTTGCAAATCTTTGCATGTGGAGCAAGCACATCTGGTTTTCTGCTAATATTAGATTATAAACAGTTTGATCTGAGGTGTTGTCTTATATGTGGCTGGTCAACAGCTCACTTTCTTAATGGCAGACATCAATGAGGGAAGAACAAGCTTTAATATATTTTAAAGGAAAAGTCAAACTGTTTTGACTGATAAGATCTGTTGACCTCATAAAAGGTATTTCTGATTATAGACAGCTGCAAGTGAGATCAGGAAAGGGGACAGAAAAATAGCCTTTCATCAGTTTTATAGGGAATGTGTTTGGAGGAATAGCAGACTGCAATGAAAAATATGTAGTAATTTATACGGGAAAAAAAACTGTCTCAGCTTGCTTCAAGTTATACAAATTATTAAATGTCATCCTCTTTGAACTTCTTAAAACATCCAACTGAAACTCAGTACCATTATGGTGAATTTCTTTTTAGCACTAAACTTAACAATATATGAATATTTAAAAAGATGAGCTTAGGGGCATGCCTAACTTACTCATAATTTTTGTTTAAATTGGCTTATTATGCATGAAGTACAATAACTTTGAAAATAACCCTTTTACTAGTTGCAAACAGTAAATACATCTAACAATCATATGTAAACATTTTTAATCTGTTTTATGTATTTGATGTTAATGAACACTTAAGAAATCAATGCATTTATTAAATTGCATCTAGGATTAACACTGAATGATCTGAAGGGTAACTGCTGCATTAGCTTTTGTTTATCTATTCTGCAATTAAATTAAGGGTCAGAGTTGTATTAGCTTGACTCTCAGTAACAGTTATATTTCATGTTGTTGTTGTTGTTGTTTCTCGTCAGCTGGGGTCTGCAAGAGGGCCATAGATGCAGGAGAGAACCTGAAGTGACCAAAGCTCTTGCTGACTCTTAAACTTCCCATCTAGAATTCTGCATCAGTATTGGTTTCTAAAGGAGCCTGGTCTTGAAAAGTGAAGTTTCATATTTACCAATGTTGCTCTGAAATTTTTGTTGCAGAAACTCTCCCACCATGAATATTTATACTATTCATGTCACAACTGTACTGAATTCCTGATACAAAAAAATATTTGTTCTCTCTATTTATGTGAGATTTGGTGAGAAAAATCTGCTGAAAAGACCATAATGAAGTGGCTGTCTCCCCATTTCTTGAGGATTGTGAGTTAGAATGGTGAATTAGTTGTTAGTTATTTACTTTAGAGGTCCTGGAGGTGACAGCACATCCACTGTGTGTTAGGGATTATACAAACACAGAGGCCTTCATCACATTGAGCTTGTCATCTAAAGTTTCAATTTTGCAAATATATGTGTTTGCTTAGTGTAACTATTATGAGTAATGCTATAGTAATTGGTACTTAATATTAAACAAAATACAAGGATAAGGCAGATCACACAGAAAAGGTAAAGAGTGGATGAAAAAGCAAGCAATAAAGCCTCCAGTTAATACATTAGCTGTATGTTAAACCTACATTGCATGGTCATTCTTTTGTTATAATTAGAAAGTAAATTGTCTTGATTTGAAATTCTTTTAATATTTTGCCCCCAAATATATTAGTCAAATTAATTCAAATATTCAGATTATTTGCTCTTAATTGCTGTTACAATTTATTTATTACAGTCTTACCATAAATAAATTAATTAATTGAGAAAGCTTATGAAGGTCAGACGTGAAACATGTCAACTGTTATGATTAAAATTTTAGCTTACTTGAAAAAAAATAGAACTGCAGTTAAGAGATAAAAATATGTATCAGATACAAACAAGGCAACCCATGGCATGATCTCGTCATCTCTGATATTAATGCTTGTGTGACATATCTCATGTATTTATAGATAAAATGCATCTTAATTTATTTTCTTATGCTCAATACTTTATTAAGCATAAGCTGTATTTCCACATCCAATTCAAAACTACTGAGAGCAATAAAAATTTCAGTAGTGATGCTTAATGTCAAAACCAGGAAGTCATCTGTAAGACAGTGCATTGTACATGACTGGTAAAATTCTGTTTGGTTAAGTTATGTTCCCTAAGTAATGATATAATGCTCATGGTGTTTCCATATTCTTAATTCCTTGGTTGTTTATTTCTTTTGTAACTTGATGAGCCAACTCAATTAGTATGTGTTTCTTCAGGATTTCACGGTCACTTAAACCTGAGCTTTCAGCAGTTAATCTTTCTATTTAGATGTCTACTTCTCCCTCCCCTCCACCATCAGAAATGTAATTTCTGATTTGGGGAACATTCCTGTGGGCTTACAAATTCAGTGAAATTTAACAGATCACCTAGCTGTGGCAGAAGCAGAATTTGGTGCTTACACCTTCTAAGGTGGTAACATGAGTTAGCGTGAGCCACGAGTCCCTGGGAAATTATGGAAATTATTGTTAATGGTAAGATTGGTCTGCTGCTGGGTTGAGAGGGAGATAGCTGAGAGGGAAGGGGAGGTGAAGTGATTCTGTTGCTTTTAAGATATCTTTTCCTATGACAGATCTCAGTCATCTGTATGAAAGTAAGCAAATAAGAAATGTAGGGCAGCCCTGTGACCTTCTGGAGAAGCGGCTGCAGGTGAGGCAGTGTACCCCAAGGCATCTAGAAGTGTACCCAATGCAATTCCACCCAAGGCTTGGCTCTAAATGTCTTTTAAGAAGTACCAGGCTGCTGATGTTGATAATGCCTCTGGAGCTGCCAGTTTCAAAACTACACAAATGCTAGGAAGCGCGTGTGGATGAAGTATGCTTTTCTGTCCTCACCGTGGGCAGCAGCAACCTGTGTTCTCTGTTCATTGCACCTTGTCCACACTTGCAGCTGTTATTTCCTGGGTTTATGCAGGATTTCTGTGCTGTATAGAATGTATCCTGGCCTGCTCACAAACTGTATAGCAAGCCAAGTGCGCAGTGTGTAAACATGCTTGTGTTCAGGTATCTGGTGGTGTTAGTATTCCTCTTAGATTCTCATCTGTCCTCTCAGATACGCTCACTAACTTTTCCCTTTCTGTCTCTGTCTCGTGTAGTATCCATAATGTCCAAGAATCATTCTTCTTTCTCTATATGCATTTTCTGCAACTGTCGTTTTCCGGGGAAGAACACACCCTCTCTTTTAAGTCATCAGAGATGTTGCATGAAAGACAACAAATCAATAACAGAGGTTTCTGCTTTGTTATTACAAAACCTTGGTCTCCTAGTAGAGAGTATTGACAGCAGCTGTGCCTGGTGTTTTGATTTGCACACTGTTGTACTCAGGATGGCACACAATATTTCAAAGTCAGTAGCAAATTTATAATGAGACTTGATTATTGGTAGCTGCAAAGTTTCTTTGCAGGTGTACAGCTTGAGCACATTAACTACAGCAAAGATATTTTGAAGTTTTAATAAAATTTAAAACTTTAGAGCTACTATGTTGAAAGTGTCTGTAGCTTGTCAGTTTTAAGTTCCTTTTGAAACAGCTAAGACTTAAATTATACCTCTGTATAACATGTTACACAGAAAAATGTGGACTTTAGGGGAAAATAGGGGGTTGTTCTTTATTGCTAGCGTTACTTTGTCATATACAGGCATGTGGTGTGACTTAAATCAACTGTACCTCAATGAAAATCAAGGAATTCAAAATTAATTAAATTATTACACAGATGTGGTTTGGGGAGGATTATCGTACTTTTTGTAACAGTTTAGTAGCAGGCAAGCAAGACTGCAGAGAAGAATGTGAAGGCATTTCAGTGTACAAATAAAGCAATAGTAAAGTCCTGGTTGGACTAGATGATCTCCTGAGGTCCCTTCCAACCCCTACGATTCTGTGATTCTGTATATATTAACAGGTGTATATTTGGTTTTGATTAAAACCTTACTTGCTAAAAATATTCTCTGTAATAGAAATTCTTTGAAAGTTGGAGCCTGGTTCCTTTAAATCTATTAAGTTACTGTACCAAGCAGCTCTGAGAGCAAAATCAGGCCTTAATTTATCTTGCATCACTGTGTGAGAGTTTGAGTAACATAGTCCAAACCTTTGGCTCATGTTGATTCATGGAAAGTATCTCATATCAGTATTTTTTGGGTAGTTTTTCATTATTTTCCAAAAGAGATGATGGTAACAAAATGACAGTTTCCCAGTGGAAACAGGTACTTAACCTCTAATTTACAAACTTGTATAGGATCAAGATACATAAAATGTTTTTTTAAAAGCTGTTTTGATAACTCTTATATTTGTCTAATTAGAATTTAATTCTTGTCATTCACTTGATTAGAACTAGCTGTATGAAGATTTGTTGTTTATCTACTATTGAAACGAAAATGTTATTTGGGAATAATTGTAAAATAAGTTTACGTGAGTCAGTTAGGCCTTTCAGTGCACAACTTATTTCTCACAAATTACAATCTTTTCAGTTTCTTGGCAGTACAGAAGTGGAGCAGCCCAAAGGCACAGAAGTCGTAAGAGATGCTGTTAGAAAATTAAAGGTAAGAATGCATTTTTAATGAAATACAAATGGAATGTGTTCTTAATGTGTTTTCCCAGATAAGACACTTTGTAAGTGTTTCTAGGTAAATTAATTGATTCTGAAAGCAGTTACTTTTACTAATCTCTTCACCGGTGTGTAGGCACTTCCCTATCGTGTCCATATTATCAGATGTCCTGTTGTACATATATTTAGTTGTCTCCTAGATTATACAATTATTTATAGTATGAAGTTTGTGTAGCTTAATGTGTTATGATTGTTCTTTGGAAACTTCAGGGCTTCATTAATCCTAACTTGGGTAGCAGCAGTTTGTTTTAGCTACCATCCTCGCTTTATGTCTATTGAATGCCACTAATCATGGCACTCCAAATGTGTTGTCAGAGAATTTAAGAAAATGAACTCTTCCCTGACCAGATATCTAGTGACTTCAGCAATGCCTGTCCCACATTTCTCTGGGCTGTGCAGCGCTTCCTTTGAGTTTCGATTAGGTGAGTTGCCCCTCATTGCAAAGCAAAGCACCCACCCACTTAAGGTAAGGTGTTGGTACCAGAGAACAGGAGTAAGAACATCAAACCACTCTGTACATGGGCTGTGATAGCTCCATGGGTACTGGCTGTCTCTGACTGTTCTTCATCTAAAGTTAACGTGTCTGATCCATGTAAACCATTAGACTGAAGGTCAAGGCTCAAGATGCTGGCATGAATGTTGTTCACCCTCCAGATGTGATAATTGGTGATGTATCTGGAAATAGAGCTGGAGAGAGAGAATAGGGTTTACAAACCAATATAAAACTGTTTATGACAAGGGGTGTTACTGCCTTGTCCTCCAGGTCTTCACATTTCATTGGAAAAGGTCTGTGCTCACAGACACCATCTATATGCTAGTACTAGTGCACATAGATGGCTGACAAAATCAAATGTGCACTTTCTTCTTGGTTATATGTCTTTGAGTAGACAATTGGAAAGTACCCTAGTGAAATGACCAAAAAGAGACAGGAAAACAAAGTGTGTCCGTGGTATATAACGTTCCTTGATTTTAGCCTTAATGTATTACCACTTGCTAGTTACTGACTCGTTAAGGGTTGCTGACTGATAACACAGCTTTGACTTGACTGGTTGAGTGATAGCTGATATGCTTAAAGCTCTTCAAACGCTTTGAGTTGTGGTAGGGAATGCTGATTTGATTTGCCTGCTAACTCATTTTGCAAGGGCATTGCAGTATTTCATGCTAAGCTGCTTAGATCTATTGGCACATTAGTTTATTTAGATGTAAAAAATGTTCCACTTACCATTGTATTTTCCATAACTTTTTGTATGTTTTTCATTATTCATGTGAACAGAAGTTCCTCAGGAATGGACAGAAAATTTTGAGAATCAATACTGAAAAATTTGATTCTGTGTTATTACTATAGTAAAAAAGGAAGAAAAGGCATGAAACACTATCCGTGTAGCTCAGCTTTTAAGACTGAGGTTTCCCTTAGAAAAGCCATCTTTACAAGCTTGATTAGTAATTGTGTTAAGGTATTGAAACAGAAGTTCTTTGTCGTTATTTTTACTTTACCAAAATAGTAGAGCTGCCTTTAAAGATTTGCCTAGTCAATTCTTAAAATGTTTTATGCCAAAAAGTTGTACTGTGCTGCAGTTCGTCAAGAGACATTATTGCCTAGTTGTTTTCGTCTTCTAGGCTAATGTATGTATCCCCTTTTTTAACCATTGCAGCATGCTACCAGTAGAAATAAAATGTTTTGTGTGCTCTTTGTAGAGTTTACAGATAATACTGGAGTGAAGCCTGTTGTGTTAGACATTTTGTGTTTATAAAATTCCATTACCCTGAGCAAAACTAATTCTGTGCAGAAATCTGTCAAGATAATATCTTGCTATGGAGAAGTTTTGATTCTATTTTAATAATGTTATATCAGACTCCTCCTAAGTAAAATAGCTGCTAAATTTCTTTGTCTCACTAACGGAACCCAGGCAAACCTGGGCCCTGTCTCACTGATCACTGGAAGCTTTTGGTGGGTTGGATTGTATGAGTTGGTACCTTAAAATAGTTTGCTGTGAAAGCAGGTCCAAAAAGGATTTCAAATAACTGTTCTCTGAAGTGTAGGAAGAGCCAGAAGTATTTTATTTTCTTGGGAAAAAGCATTTGTGAGCCTAGCACTAAAATTTAAAAGTAGGCATTTTTTGTATATACTTGTGGTGTCACTGAAGTATGTAGATATCTGTTCTAACTTTTTACACTTGTTCCCTAAATAAACCACCTTGGAGATATGTGTCTAAATTGTTGCCGCCGGAATTACACTGTTTTCTTCAAGCCTGGAATTTTGGAGCTTAAATGTCAAGTATTACATGGAATCTTATATAATCACAAGTTTATTAGAAAACTCACAAAGTAATAAAGATAACTTTTGGAAAGATTTGAAAAATCTTGGAACAGAATTCAGAGAGCAATAAAGAAGTTTTATGTTTGAAACAATCCTCAGTTAACTGAATGCTTATTTCAACATTGATTTATGTTCTGCATCTGAATTATTTGAAGAGAAGCCTAGAGGTACTGGATTTTATTATTAACCACACATCTCTAGCTTGTTTTTAGAAAATGTTAATTAAAAATTTTAAACCAGTGAAAACAGCTTGAAAACTAATGTCTTACATTGAATAAAAACATGTATAATGTTCTTTGGACTAGGGGAGGTTTTAAAAGATGAGTAGCTTGTGATGTTATATATATGTTTATTATATGGATTTAGTTATAATCACAATGTTGTTAACCATAATTTTTAAATGAAAATTAATAGCAAGCTGAAAAAATTGGACTCTTTCTTAATACTTGGACCTATTTTTACAACTGGCATGCATCGCACTAATAACCTTTTGAAGTCATCTGCTTACAGTGATATATAGACGATGAGATACTGTCACTGTAAGCAATTTTTCGTAAGCCATCACATCATCAAATTATGTCAGAATAGACATTCGGTGTACAACTCTTTATTTCATTAAATCAAAAGCTCTTAACTCATACAGCACAAAGACTCTAAACTTGCCAGATGTAGGACTGTGCAGAGCTGTAACACACCACGCCATGAACGTAATTTTACCAGCAGGTGGAGCTAATGTTCTACAGTAAAATACAGAAACTTGGAGGAAATTTTTCTTGATGCTTCATTGTGCTTCTTTTATCCCAAATACCACTACTGCATTTTCTAAACAGTTGCTAATTTTGCTGGGTCAGTTGTAATTTGAATGTACGTTTTTTTCAAGCTTCTATATTTAATTTTTCTAGAGCATTGTCCAGTGGTTTTATTTAGTTGGGATTTCCCCTTGTGTTTTCAAATTTCTTGGAGAAAGAAGAAAGTTGCACACTAATGTTTTAAAATGTATATTTTTATTTCTAAGATAAGGTGAACTGTTATCATAATTTATTACAAAAAATTTTTTCCTTCCACTTTTCTAGTCAAACTGATTTTTAGAATGAAATGAAAACTAAAAAAAATGGTACCAAGATTTTGATCAGAACATACTTACATTCAAATGTGTGAATGCTGTCAATCCACACTTTATAAAATAAAGTTAAATGATTACTTTCCTTGACATAATTTCTAAATCAGACTGTAGGAATGGATTTGATTCTTCTCAGAAAGTGTTTGAGCAGTTGCAAGAAGTGAGACCAGGTGGAAAGACCAGCATAACAGATGGAAAGGGCAGCATAACCAGACAACTAGTAAGAAAACAGCATGGAGAAGTGTTAGGGAGAAACCAGAAGTAAACACCTTAGTTTTGAGCTGTTCCTTTTACAGTCTTCAAAGGGATGTTTTTGTGAGGACCAAACTTAAGGCTGTTCTCTTTCCCAGCTTCCAACTCTATCTCCTTTTCTCCTTCTGTTTTTGTCTGTAAGTGGGGATGACTAGAGATAATGTAAATAGAATTAATCACTTTGAAGCCACTTGAAATACTCTTCATCAGCTCCTTGACCCATAGGGACAAACAAAGCGAAGAGTGCTCCTTTACACAGCTCCACACATGCTGTGATGCTGTCCTGCTGCTGCCCTTAGTGGACCATCAGTGGATATTGTTCTGAGCTCTCTTTCGTGGTAAAGCTGTTGAAAGGACAGAATAGGGTGGAGTACAGAAAATCTTTTAATATTGGGATAAAAAGGTTTCCAGTCAAGCCTTGCAGCCATGACTGTTCTCTCTGAAGTACTGGAGAAAGCAGAATGTGTGGTTTGGAAACAGCCCGGGACATCCTGGAGACCAAAGCAGATCAAATGAGAAGAGGTGAAGCAGAGAATACCTGTTTACCCTCTCTCTTTCTCAAAAAAAGTTAAAACAAAACACCAACCAAGACTTCCACCAAAAATACCAAAGAAACCCCCAAAACACCACACCACAAAACGAAATAACAACCAAACAAACCCCAACACAAAACCAAACAAAAACATTCAGGGAGTGAGAGATGGAAAAAAGGCTGTTCTGCACTGTCTTCTGCATTGTGGTTAATAGATTAATAGCCTTCCTCTCAGTCCAGTGTGCGTTTAGAAAATAGAA